GGCCAACAAATTGGCTGCTGCTGCTGCTGGGTTGGCACTGGCAGCTGCTGCAGCCAAAGCCCCTGTAGCTGCTGCCTGACTTAGGCCTAAACCTAATGTATTGAGATTATATCCATAGCTGGCTAACGTATTAAGTGCAGAGGTGATGGCCACCAGGTCATTGCCTGTAAAGCCAGATAAAACTGCTGGAAAGGCTGCCACTCCAGCAAGGTTAGCATGTCCTAATAGCCCTGCAGCAGCTGCAGCAGTTGGTAACACTTCAGCAGTGTTTGCATAAGGAGATCCGGTTGGATTGGAATTGGCCACTGGACCTGTGACATTGGCATAACTGATATTGAGACAGCTGCCACTCTGTGGATCCTCTTGTATCTTCTGGATGATAAGTTCAACAGCTTTTCGGTTTTGTTCAGGTTCTCCACTCACAGTGACAACCCTCTCTTGCAAGTTGATCCCATCAGGTTTCTGGGAAAGCTGTACCCAAGCCCCTGACTGCTCCATTATAGCCTTCACTGTAGCACCTCCCTTCCCTATTATCAGACCTGCTGTGCTGTTGGGAACTATAATCTTTACCTGTAATTGAAAAAAATATATATAAATAATACTTCTGCTTTGTGCATAAACACTATAATATTTTTGCTACCCTATAAAAGGAAGGAAAAGAATGAAGCAAGTTAGTTACCATGTTTTTAAAAGAAAGGGTTAAAAAATTAAAAATTATCACAGCTCATCATGCTTTTTAATGTTCTGTATGTTTCAAATGTATATTAAGAAGAATTAAAGGTAAATTAACAGGAAAATCATTTTTATCATTCTCCCACAGAAAATACTGCTTTCAGCATAGTACAGTTCACACCAAAAGATTAAGCAAATGCAGCTATTATATTCATATGGAAAGATTATCCTAAAATTGTATCAAACTGAGTATTTTCACATGATTCCTCTCTTTCCAGGCGAATGTAGCAAAACAACTTCTTTGGCAAAATTTGTCTGAAATTCTTTACCTTCCTTTAAAACATCTACAGTAGCAATAATTAAAAAAAAAAAGAAAGAAAGAAAGAAAGAAAGAAACAGAACAAACCAAAACCAAAACAAACAAAAAACCACAACCAAAACAACATTTGGCTAAATCTTGGACAGATGAAATAGCTGGTCTTGAACAGGACATGATCTTGATTCTTTAACCTGTGACCCACATCACTGTATGGAAATTTATTACCTGATACACTGTATTATTATTGTTCAGCCTATGGAAATTAAATTTTACAGGAAAGAGTCTCTAAGAGCTGAGATTTTCAGTATAAAAGATGGCATTAATACATTTAAAAGTTTACCAAATGGTTTCAAACAAAGGTTATTTACCTGTAAATCCTACCTTTTCTTCTGTTTAAACAAGTTTCAAACTGACACAAGATAATTAATATCAATAAATGTATTACCTATTGACTTACTGCTATGAGTGAAGAATGATGCCCAGGATAAAAATTCAACACTTATACATATTTTTCATAGCTTTTGTTTTTGGTATACATTTTACAAATGTGTCCCAAAGTTTTAATGTACTGTACATTTTAAGACTTTGAATTAATAAAGTGTTTTATTTTACAAAAGCTTTGCTTTTAGTAGCTTGGTGTTCAGATATACATTCATCTCAATTTTGTGGAATATGTGTAGGGGCAACACTTTTCAATCCTTTCACCAAAATTCTCTCTAAAGTCTTAGCAACAAAAAAATATAAAACACAATTAAATGTTATTAGTAATAGTCTCTTTTTACTGCCTCATTAAAAGTCAAACTAATTGCAAACCAGTATGCATGCCCTACAAGCAAGTTTTTAAAGCTAGAAAAAGCTTAGATATTTCCAGTGGTTATGTTAGCATGAAAATCATATCTTTGAGAATCCAGCATACTAGAAACTTGAGAAACACTTATATTTTCCACTTACACAACATGTACATTAAAAATAATATATCATACTGTATTTTGCACTGGATTGTTTTAAATTATATACACAATTTTTAATTCAGAATTTTGTTGGCATCAAAACAGAACATGTTCTATAGAATAAATAAATTATCAGCTGCTGACTTATTCTAAAGGTAAGGTGAAAGAAGGGTATTGAAAAAAAAAATTAGTCCACACATATATTAAATAATCCTATAAAAATCACTGTGATCACTGTATATAATCTTAAATACATAATGACACATTTTATATATGTTTGTAGACAGACCTAGCTTTAAGTCAGAACACCTCCTAGTAATTTTAAATGTAGTTCAAGGTATTTGGTAATTTTAAGGTAACCTTTTTTAGTTTTGCTGTCATAAAAAGAAAGAAACAACTCTTAGTTTTGGTTAGCTATTTCAGTTCTAAATACAAAATACATTAACTAATTGCTAAATAGAAGAATTGTCCAGATTTTTGTAAATTTTTTTTTTGGGGGGGTTTGCTTGTTTGGTTTTGGGTGTGTTTTATTTTTGGTTGTTTTGTTTTATTTGGGTTTTTTTTGTTTGTTTTTTGTTTTGTTTATTTTGTTAACACTAAAAATGCAGCACTGCACAGCTCTCATTATTATGGTTTTGTGCTGCATACTATAGAAAACAGTTACTTGCCTCCACTGCTTTGAGACACACTAACAGGTTCTGTGGGAGACTTCAGTAAGCAATGTGCATAGTTCTGATCAAGTCAGGCATAAGTGCTTAAGTAAACTGAAGTGAAAAAAACCTAAAAACATAAGAAGGTACAAAAACACACTCTCATAACCATACACGTGATTTCAGAAGTAAATAGGATATTTAATGTCAGGGCAGTATTGTTGCACCTGTAATATTATAGTTACATATGCAGCATATGAAAATCCAGGTCACTGTTATATAGCCAGGATTATTCTAAAGGATGGGTGTAGCAAAATAAAGCAATGGCTTAATTCAGCCACAAAATTAAAAAGGAAGTCTCCTCTATGCAACAAGAAAGATTTTCGCAATGTGAAACTGGTACTTTTCTCACTTGATACACAAACATTCATTAGGTTACCACTAACAGCTCTGGTTGTTCAACAAAATTATCTGTCTCATCAGAGGAAAGATAAAGAATGATCTCCTTCTCCTTACTCACACACTCCCCACCTTGTTCAGACATGGTTTTCTATTTAGCATTACAAACAATACAAAAATTATGCATTTTGAAAAAAAAAAGCCATAAAATTTAATATGCTGGATTAATATATGTTTGTCTGCTCCAGAAATAAAGATATCCTTTTCTAAATATCTGATTTAGAAACAGACTATTGTTTCTTTCATTGGCAACTCTCTTAAATGGTATTAGTTTAGGAATATACCAATAATGTCCTTTCAAATACAACCCCTGCCACGGTGAATATTTCACATATTTACATACAGGATATCTTTTAAAAATATATATGTATTAAATAAGAAGACAGTATGCCTCTATTTTATATTAGGACAAAAACATTACATTCCAGTGAAAATTCAGTTTGAACAAAACAGAAATACATCTGTACTCATTTTATTTAAAATGTAAGCAATCCTGCTCTTCTTGAAATGAAGAGCAACATTTGTATTATTTTGAGATATTTAGCTTTAACATTCTTGTATTTTTGACAGCTAATTTAAAATTTCATTTAAAATTTTAGATAATTGTTTTCAAAAGCAGAATACATTTAAGATTTTTTTTTTGTCTTGTTTAGGAATATTAATCTTGCTACCAGTTTGTAATTCTCCATCTATTTCTTTTATTTACTAAATCTTTCCCTTGTTTGTATATTGGAATATCAAGTCTTTATGGCAAACACTGGTTGTGCTGTATAATAACACAGTATCTAACATATTAGATTGATCACAACAGAGGTGCCGGTAGAAAATAAATAGTGCAAATATATTTTTTTTCTTTCCTGTTGAAGCCTAAAACCCATATGGTCACTTAGTTAAAAGGTAGAAAATTATACGAAATAATTGAGAAAATGAAAAATCAAATATTATCTATTTGGTTTTGTTACCTGCGTGACCACCACTTTTGAAAAAATACTTAACTCCTTGTCTGTCAGGGAAATTAGACAGTGCACTTATTTTCCTTCTACAGATAATGGGTTCAGAAACTGACTGGGATGCAGAAGTGAGAAACTGCTACCCAAAATAAGTGCTCTGAAGTATCCAATAAAGGTATCTTTCACTATGCAGGAAGATTAGGTTTCCAGGTTTTTGTGTATGCTCCTAGCTACATCCAAACTTGTGCTGCAAAAAGGGGATTGAGTATCTGAAGCAGCTATGAACATATGCTTACATATGCATAAGAATAAGCACATGTGCAATTTATTTTGTTCAAATGCTATAGGAAGTAAAAAGGGAAGTAACTCAACCTTTATTTCATGTCAAATAGGTTTTATAAAAAATTAGGGATTGCAATTATGACATTTGCTTACACAGAAAGCAAATTACTTTCTTCCACAGGCATCACTCTCATTCTATTTGCATTAGCATAAGCAAGTTCAAAATCAGGTTCAACAAATATAATACTTCCCCCAGAAGTCATCCAACTATAACAAATATAATAGAAACAAAGTAATTTCTCTGCATACGTTTTCAGTGAAACAAGACTGTGTCTTTAAAAGCCTTGACAAAAGTCAAAGAAACCTGGGCCGTAAGAAAGGCTCCAACTGGAGAGCAGTTTGCTGCCCTCAGTTCCCAAAGAAATCTGCAAAGATTTGATGCAACTCTGCCCTTCAGATGAAGAGGCCTGGTACTTAAGGGATCCCAACCACTGTGTCCAGAGACACAATTCAAACTGCTTTTAACTTTCACCACATGAGTAGCTCATATAAATCCTAGACTCCTAAATCAGTATCAGCTAATTTCCTAGACCTTTCCCATTTATTGAAAATCCACTTGCATAAGCCCATGCTGCATTCATATATCATGTCAGAATTGCCTAAAAGTCCTCTGATTTACCAAACTGAAAGTCCTGGCTCAGTTAAGTGAGCAGAATAGCATCTGCTGTGGAATGCCAGATGTTTGGTGATTATGCCCTGCCACTCTCATCCTCCCCAGTGCTGCACTGAGATCATCTGCACTGAGCAGCTCTGAATGCACATGAATAAATGCTAAATAGTTTCATGGGAAGACAAACCATGACCAAATCTGCACTACTACCCATGTCCTGCCAATTCTCATTCCCACTCCTCTCATGTAGAGACTTCCAACAACCCATTGCAAAATTTCACCCATTCCACCCCTTCACTTTTCTACTGCTTTATTTCTTCTCTCTGACAATATTTGGTCTGGTTATATTCCACCTCTTGCAGTCTCTAGTATTGTGGGGATGGCAACCACCAACTCACACCATACATGCCACCCGGCTAATAGAAAGTCTACACTGATAAACGTAGTGGAAGGATGAAATGCAGGCTAGATAGCAAGAATTAGCACTTGATATGGCTGTTACACCAATTAGAGTAACTCTAAGTTAAGAGGGTTGAAAAACATGGTTTTAGGTTTCAAATTTGACCTGGTGGCATGACACATGCCTGCATTAAATTACACTAGAAGAGAAATATTACT